GAGAAGGGCCACAATCCCTCATGCTGACTTGTGCTCATCGCTGCATCTTTCTCCTTTCAGCAAAGAGTCACCTCTTGCCTGTTAGGCAATTCCAGTCCTGACACATCTAGCTACATAGCTGGTTAAGATGTGATCCTAGCATAACGTTCCAGAGAAAGACCTCCCGTGGCCCCAGAGGAGGACATTGCCTGTTCCCGGCCCCTTCTTCCCTCTTCTGTCCTGATCTCCTGACCTCAGGAAGTGGTTTTGCCGGAGCAGGTGGTATAGGAGGTGATGTGGTCCAAGTCCAAGGAGGGATCCTGGTATTCTGCATTTGAAAAAGATCCTTCACCTGAAATCCATCCACCGCGAAGCAAACAACTCGGGGTGGGTTTGAAATGCCTCCTGCAATCATCTGGCTGAAAATCAGTTTCTCAAAAAGGAAAGCATTATGGGAGAGGTTTGCTGGGCCCCACCATCATGGGGAGCAGGGTTAAAGAGCGACTACTTGGAAATGTCACAAGTGCTGGTACAGCTTCAGCTGGCAAGTGGTTTGGGGGCCAGGATGGGGAGAAATTCCTGGTTAGAGCCCCCTTTGTAGGAGCTTGGGATAACTGACCCGGGTAATGACTCAATGGCCTGAATGATAAGCCTGTATATACACAAGGCTGCTCATGAACAGGAGGGACTGAACAGTCAGACTGAAGCATTATTCAACGCTGTATTGTGGCATAAATAGACAAAGGTCTGTAAGTAGCTGCTATGCCAAGTAAAAACTTGGCTATCAGTCATGATAATAAATGAGCATCTGGGCCTGTCAGAGTTCGAAAGGAAATGGCCTCCATGTCTCCAGGCTTTGGACCTCCTTGCACAAGGAGGCCAAGCATAAAGTATCGCAAAATTGTGCTTGAAAATACATCGTCATCCCCTGGCCTAGTTGCAGGTCTGGGTGGCAGATTGAACTTGCATGCAGAGCATCCTGGCACCCAACCTGTGGTAGTTGAAGAACCTGGTTTTAAGATGGCTGTCGGTGCCAAAGCCTTTAGGGGGTTAGTTGAATGTTTGTAAAACCTATATGTGGTAATTTCCAGGTTGCTTGCGGAGAGATGAAATACGACCAATCCCAGACCGTTGTTTTTCTGCACCAGCTCATAGCTTCTCTCCTCCGCCTTTTCTGGTCTAAGAATTCACTCCTTCGGTCATTCGCTCAGGCTGATTAACACGGGGCCCGAGTGGACGGCCATTGCTTGCGTGGGGCTGACACCGGTGGGTAATGAAGACTCCTGCAACCCGGCCTGTCTTTCTCACAACTGCGCTTTTCATGGCTTCTGTAGCCAAGAGCGAGATGTGCAGAGAATGTACACAAAAGCATTTGGAGACGTTTCAGAGAACCCCGTGTCCTGAACCAGTCAGCACACGATGTTTCCAGAACATTTCGGATAACCTTAAATGCCTAGAGGAGACTTTAAATTAAGAGAACGGCAGCTGTCCAGATGTGACACTGGGTTTAATGTGCCTCTGCCTAGCAGATAGGAGAGATAAGGGGATTTTCGAGCTGCACTGAAGACAGACATATTTTTATACGCTTTATACCTTATGCGCTGAGTAGTATGACTAAAATATTCTGCTTTCAGAGGATAGTTGAAGCTCACAAAACTGAATTAAATTCTCTGCTGGGCTGGCATTTTAAAAAAAAAAAATCCCTTTGTACTCATGGAAAACAAGGAGACCTCTGAGATGATTAGGCTATTTCTATAAACAATAGGACCGAGCTCTTCATTAATCGCCACCATTGTACCGTCGTCACGCTTGAGCGTGTATATTCATACACAGGCCCAAAGAACTCTCCCTGTGGTGAGCTGAGTTTGAGTGAAGATGTGGTACACGGCTCTTCGTAGATGTGCAGCAGCCCTCTATAATCCCCCACCTCCACGTTTGGCTGCCATCGGTGGAAAGCGGAATAGAGATGGCCGTTGGCCACAGGGAGCCGCAAGTTAAGGAGATGCGGAGAAGACGACGTGCCTGACCTGCATGCCATGAGCAGCCCCCTCTGTTAGGCCTCACCAGTTTTTCTTTTTAATGAGTGCTTCTTCATTGGTTGTCCTGTCTGCACGAGGGAGCACGACATGTAACTCTGGTTGAGCGTCGTCACTGTGAGCTCGTGCATTTTTTTGGCACTGCTGTGGGGATCCCTGGGCCCTGGAGCGTCTGTCCGCTCATGGTGCCAAATCTGAGGCGGGCCTGCTGGTGGCCGGGGTTACGTGCCTGCTGGTGGCCGGGGGTTACGTGCCTGCTGGTGGCCGGGGTTACGTGCCTGCTGGTGGCCGGGGTTACGTGCCTGCTGGTGGCCGGGGTTACGCGCCTGCTGGTGGCCGGGGTTACGCGCCTGTGAAAAGGCTCGAGGAAGGTGGCTGCTCACATGCAGGTGGGGAAATTCCATAAGCTGTGAACGTGGACTGGAAACACCTGAAGGGCACTGTTTATTGGATTGTGGATGTGTCAGTAATTATACGGGGTTCATTTACTATATCTGAAATGCAAGGAAGGGACAGTCACTTGGCGATGCTCTGGACGTGGATTGCACACATAAAAGTGACATAGACGGCTGTATTATCTATTATCCATAAATATGATGGCAGAGTCCCAGGGTGACGCAGCCGAAATGTCACCAGCTACAGGCTGCTGGCTGCCTCTCTGCTTCCTAATGGACTGAAAGGTCACATGTTTTATGAGGCCATCTTGCCACGTAGCTGCATTATCATGGTCGGTGTCTTACGCCGGGAAGGCTGCCATCTTTCATTCTGTTGGTCAGATATCAGCGACGAGCTTCTGTCAGCGCTGCTAGGGTAGCCGGTTTGCGTCTTATTTCATGATTAAACTTTTATGACGTGAGATCTTCCTGTGCAGCCTGCTAAGAGGGTAAACCCCGTAAGCTAAGGCTATCCCAAGAGAGTCGTCAGGGGCAGGCGTATAGGGACCTGTGCAGCACAAACCTCTCAGGGCATCGCCGTCTTCTGAATATAACCCAGAACCTCTTCATGGAGTGACCTAGAGCGGTTCGAGTATCATCCTTGAAGCTCCTGCAGTTTGGTGGCTTTTTGTGCCAGTCCTCATCGAGGGGACTTAAAGGAGCTCAGGAGCCATAAAGCCTGTTTTACTGACCCAGTGACGTCACTGCCCCCTGCTGGCTCTGCCTGTTTTATGGTCCCGGTGACGTCACTGCCCCTTGCTGGCTGATCCCTCTGCTCAAAATGCTGTTTACTCAGCGTGCATAATTCTGTTTACATAAACGAGGCTCTGTGCAGTTTTTATAGTGTAATATCCAAAAATAAATATTAATAAATGTTAATGTGGCCATTTTGACCAAATTATAACATAAAGCTGAAATGTAAATATTGTGCTTTTTATACTTGCAAGCTCAGCATCTTCAGCCCCAAGGATTAGATTAAATTAGTATGTATTTAGAAAAATACATGAAGTCCACTTTTCCCTGGACTTGGCTGTTGCGTAGTGGGTGAATCACTTTGTTGTGATCTAGATGTGCACCTCGCGCTCAGCATTTCAGTCTGTAGGCCCATGTCTGTGGCCGTCACCGGCCCCCACGTCCCACCCCCATCTGCCAGCGCCCGTCTCTGGGGGAGCCTGGCTTCTCTCCTCTAGGGTCTGTGATGAAACACAAGAACCCCGAACAACAGCGGCATGAGTGAAAATCAAATTCAATTCAGATCTCCTCCAAAAATAAAATGGATTGCAAAAAACTGTCAGGGGAGTCTGTAAGTGTAAATGCGATGGATGGGATAGAGGGGCTCGTGGGAGACTTTGCAATCGCCATTTTCCGGGAATGACAGGAAACGTACGGAGACAGAATCGAAAATGCTGCAGCGTCACGACTAGCACGACTGCAGCTTGTAGGTTCGGACCCAAACTTATTTTCTGATGAAATCTGAAGCGACCTCAGAGAACATCAGCGTCTTGTTGCCCGGGTATTAATCTCTCTGGATTTTGTGAGGAGTATGAAACTTTTGGCTGAGATGTACGTGGGGTTCTGTTTTTAGTGGATGGTCGCGTGGTGACTTCGTTAAGAAAGCGTCTGCTTCGTCCCCCATGGGGAGGGCGGCTGTGCCGCTTGTTCACGGGTCATTAAGCAGCCGGCACTGACCTCTAGGGCTTTACTCACGCAGAACCTCACGCTGACTCACCGGCACTGCGCTCCATCACATATTTTTAATTTAATGAGTCTATTTCCCCCTTCTGGCCAGTAAAAATAGCTGTTAACACACTTATTTAAGTACCGTGTCGTGATGTTCACGTATTATAGCATAACCTGCGAAGTCTCATTACAGCCTGTCATCTCCCACACAGATCAATGCAAACGCAGAGCACTTTGAGTGACATGATGTCATTTTTAGACGGGTGTTAGGAAGGGCAGGATTGGGCATGGGCGTTCGGGGAAGACCTGTGTGTTAAACACCCCTCCCACCAGCGAATCCCGGCCCCGTGTGGCCATGAGCAGGGTCCTTCCACACGCCCGGTGCCAGCCAGAGAGCACCTGTCCAGTGGAAATGAGGGTTCTGTTTACGAGTGTGCTTGAGGTAAACATGCATTCAGTGAGTGTCTCCCTGACGTGGCAAACAGAATTTAAATAAGCTTGTGTTTGAAGGTTTGTTTACACCACATTTATTTGGGCAAATAATTAATGGGTAACTGAAAATCTTCCAGAATCAGCTGTGTGTGTGTGTGTGTGTGTGTGTGTGTGTGTGTGTGTGAGAGAGAGAGAGAGAGA